ATTTGACCGTCTGTGTGGGCTGCCAAGAGAGAGAGAGAGCGTGTGTGTGTGTGTGTGTGTCTAATAACGCCTAAAGTTCTCCCTGAACCAACAGGTGAGTGCAGAGGCAAGAGTAGTTAGTGAGTTGGGGAACACCGGTGGAGGCGGGGCAATAGAGGCGGGAGAGGCGGTGCAATACGAGGCAGGGGCGAGGCAGGACAATGAGGAGCAACAGGAGGGCAATAAGAGGGCAATGAAGGGGCGGGGCGGGGCAGGGGGGTGGGGAGGGGCAGGGCAGGGCGGGGATCCTTTCAGACATGATCCTCTACTCTGGGAAATATTCTGACATTAAATACTCAGAAGTCGCAACTTTAATGAGTTTCTGACGACGTTTGGAGAGGAGGAGGAGGAGGAGGAAGGAAGAGGCGATAAAGGAGGGAGGAGGAGGAGGAGGAGGAGGAGGAGGAGGGAGAGGGAGGAGGGAGATAAAGGAGGAGGGAGGAGGAGGAGGAGATAAAGGAGGAGGAAGAGGTGTGGTTATGGTGTATAGTGGTAGGAGTGATGGTGGTTATGGTGATGATATGGTGCTTACCCCAGATAATTCTCACACACACACACACACACACACACACACACATCTAAGAACTCCTAATAACTGTTACAAGTCTCACCTCTAAGTAAACAAACACAACAACACACAATATCACCTGTCACCCCAACATTACACACACACAGCAACCTCCCACTAGTGTAATAACCGTAAACACTCACCAGTATTAAGAATATATTAATTGGTCTACCGTGTTTACTACAATAATTCATTAACTGAAGGAAGGAGAGAGGGAGGGAAGGAGAGAGGGAGGGAAGGAGGGAGGGAGGGAAGGAGGGAGGGAGGGAAGGGAGAGAGGGAGGAAGGTGACACCATTCCTACATCCTATTTTGGGTCGAAGGAGTCTTAAGAGGAGGTTAGGAGAGGAGGGGGAGGGAGGGAGAGAGGTAGGAGTGGGGGTGGGGAGGGAGGAGGAAGGGAGGAAATGGTAAGTGAGGGGAGCAGGGGAGGGAGCAGTTAAATTATGTGGTACAGTTCGACTGCAATTAACAATTATAGGACCCCCTCCTCCCCTCCTCCCAACCCCATCCACCCCTCCCTCCTCCTAACCCATCCTCGCTCCCTCACCAGCTGATCTACAAAGTGTTTACAAAGTCCCTTGATGTTGCCATAATCCACAATGACCAAACCACACACACACACACATTAGTACATATAATATCACCATGTGTGTTTGTTTACATAATAACTGCATGTTTCCTACGTGTGTTGTGGCGTAGAGGACACATCACGGAGTACATATACTGATGTTTTGAATATGTAATTCTCTCTCTCTCTCTCTCCTCAAAAAACATAAATCATCAAGGGACTTTATAAACACCATAACCAAAACTTAACGTCTAACCGGGAATTATCAGGGTGGGTCTTGGTAGGTCATTCAATCCCGTGCCGCTCAGTTTATCACCTTACGTCTGGCAGCGTGAGATTTACCGTACGATCATCCTTACGTCTGGCAGCGTGAGATTTACCGTACGATCATCCTTACGTCTGGCAGCGTGAGATTTACCGTACGATCATCCTTACGTCTGGCAGCGTGAGATTTACCGTACGATCATCCTTACGTCTGGCAGCGTGAGTGACGTAAATAAAACAATGACGTCATATTCATCTGCCTTTTATCTCTGGCGACATAAGGTGAAGGGAGGTCATATGCTCTCTTATGCTCGTTCTGAATACTCATGCTCACGATCGTACTAAAACTCCCACGCCCCACGCTCGAACTCAAGGATCATGCTCCAAGGTTAATCCCCAGGTGAAATTAGCTTGAGGAGTAAATCTTGAGGTGGTCCAAACACTCAGATACTGTGACATAAAAACTCATAATTGGCGGAGGCTTAATTAGGAGCAGCCACGACCTACACACCTGAACTGTCTTACCTGGCGAGGGAGTTTTGTCACGACTGCGTAGAGACAGACAGGTGTAAAAATGTATAGACAGGTGTTAAACTCCCAATTAAACCACAAACAGGTGTTGAACTCTTTATGTGTAAGTAAATGTTGGGATTTTTTCAATATATATTTCAGCATTTCATTCTTGTTCCTTAGATAGATAGATAGATAGATAGATAGGGAAGGAGAGTGGTTGTGGGGAGGGGAAGAAGAGGATGGTGGGAGACGGGAAAGAATTGAGGATGAGAGGGATGTGGGGAGGAGAGTGGGGTGAGGAGAGGGAAGGGAGAGGGTTAACAAAACTGGCACACGCTCACTAATTACCTCCATAACTACGGGCAGACTGACGCAGTGCCAACTTTGTGCTACTGACATCTGCTTTACGGGTGCCACTGACGGGTGCAATGGACAGGTAACGGTGGCATTCTTCCATTATTAATGGCACCCTGTAGCTTACGACATCACGAGACATCATATACAGATGCCACGAGACATCAAGTGCCACGAGACAGTCATATACGTAGACAAGGGTGCCACGGCCCTCAGAGACGAGCGAAACGGGTCACAACAGCCGAGTGCCAAGACCCCTGACACACACACACACACACACACACTGAAGGGAATATCAAAGCATTCCTTAAGACGCACCTTTATAGCCATGGTCCTTAGCAGTGCCTCACCTAACACACCTGCCGACACACCTCTCTCTCTCTCTCTCTCTCTCTCTCTCTCTCTCTCTCCATGTTGGAATTAACCTAACCTAACCCCAGACATACACACTTAAATATCAACAAAGGACAAGTTCATTCTGTCAGGAGAAAAATGACGTGGTTTTTTTTTCCCCAGGAATATTGTCCACCACTGGCCAAGGATGTGAGATGAATGGGGCCAGCTTGGACAATGGCCAGCTGGTTCCTCACGAGTAGCTGAGAGTTTGTGTATTGTGTAATTGAAATTTTGATGTTTGTTCGTGATTTTACAGCCGATGGCTTTTGTGTATTTGTGCAATTTTTTTTGGGGGGGTCCGTGTTCTTGTCTCTGCATGTTTGTACTTATCTATCTATCTATCTATCTATCTATCTATCTGCCTGTCTGTCTGTCTATCGTTTTGTCTATATGTCAGATGTGGAGGTGCCCGATGACGTCAGAGTGCAGCTTGAGCAAGATGAACGAATGTCTGTCATACCTGGGAGGTGACACACACACACACACACACACACACACACACACACTACCATCCCCTCGAGTCTGTACCATCAACGCAACGCCAGTACGAGCGATAACTACCGTCTGGCGTTCGTCTCAGTGTAATAGTGATGATAATTATTTTAACTTTTCGTGTTTTGTCTTTAGTCAACCAGTGAGGATTATTTATCTTAGGATCTTTTGAGAATACGCCCCCTGGAGTCTAGCCACGCCCCCTGGAGACTAGCTACGCCCCCTGGAGCCTATCCACGCCCTCTGGAGTCTAACCACGCCCTCTGGAGTCTGGCCACGCGCCAACTCTCCAAGAAAAATGACACTTGAAACGTTCTGACATTCTACAATTTTTCTTTTTATTAATAATGATAAAACGAGGCGGAGGGAAAGAGTTTTGAGACGAGATGTAATATTTCACAACTACTGGTGTTCTGCCTTTATCACCGACGGAGATATTAATACAACGTTGTAGAAGAGTTGAGGTGTTTCTGGTTGATCATGAGTTGGACCACAGGAGAGTATGGCTAATGAGGCAACCTGGTATATTAAAATGTACCTTTTTTATCAGGTAATTAGACCATCCCTACCTTACTTCACATGATCATTTATCACTAACACTACACACACACACACACACACACACACACACACACACACACACACACACACACACACACACACACACACACACGCACACACACTCTCAGTGTTTTTGTTGACCCTCCCACAGGTATATTTAAATCACCAACACATTAACTCTGCCTCACATACCTGCCCTAATTAATATCACCTGTGCTGGTCCCTTTTTTACCCTTCATAATCGTTGACTAACAAAACAAAAACTTAAGGACCACATGTATGTAGATTAACCCCATAAGTTTATTTTACCCTTACTCTACCTGGGGGGTTAGGTTAGGGTAAGTTTTGGTTAGGTTAGGGTAAATGAGTGTTGGTTAGGTTAGGTTAGGGTCTCTCTGATTGGTAGTCTTGCAAGAATACTTTTTTATTTTGAAAGTTGTTGAGAGAGAAGAATGTGTTCTAGGTATGTGGTACAACCTGAACACTTCTATATAAGGAAATATTTCATGTTGACTTTCGGAAAATATTTACAGTATCTTAACTTTTCCTCCTAACTGGGTCACATATGGCCACGGTAGACAAGATGGATTCTCATTGGTCTATATTTAACTTTTCCTCTTAGCTTTTGATGTGGGAACATATCTAATTGAATCACTGACGTTACGACAAATAGATGAATATATGACCACCTAAAACAAATGAATGAAAAAAACTAAAGATATTTGAAACAGATGATTTGGTAACTATCTAAAACAAATGACAGTCTGCAACTATAGACACTTTAAACAGATGAGTACCTCACCACCTAAAACAAATGACAGTCATAAAATTATAGATACTTTAAACATGAATAGCTCTCCACCTAAAACAAATGACGGTCAAAAAACTATCAACACTTTAAACAGATAAAGAGATGACACCCAGGAACAAATGACAGTCTGCAACTAACGACGACCACCCCTTGGCAGGCCATCGTTCAACACCTTTACGATCAGATGCCTCTTGCAGCCGCCATCTTCACCCACTGTCTCAGGAGTTTCGGGAATTATTTTTTCTTAGATAAACGGTGAGCTGAGAGCATTTTCCTTCCTAAGATTGACATAATAAATCCCAAAATCTGACACCTCTTACCTGTCGCCACTGACCTACCTGTCGCCACTGACCTACCTGTCGCCACTTACCTTCCCTCCATAACAGAGAAGACTCAGCCATTAGCCTCACCAACACACACCTCGGTACTCACCTTTCTCAAACTGGACATTCTGTCTACTGAAGGCCCGTGAGAAGGCGTCGAAGACTCTGGTGTGAGCCTCAGCCAGGTGGACAGTCTTCTCGTTCACGCCCTTGTTCATCTCCCTCTTGACGCCCACGGGGTAGCCTAAGGGCGTGGGCGTGGGAAGTGACGGGGCGTTGGTGGGCGTGATGGAAATTGTATTAGGGTTCTTCAAGGGCAGGTCAATGATGGGCGTGGTGATGGTGCTGGTAGGAGGAGTCTTGATAGGTATGGTAGAAGGAGGGGGCGGAGTCTTAGTGGGCGTGGTGGCAGTGGGCGGGGTCTTAGCACCATCAGTCTGGGGTGATGGACTCATGGTGGTGGTGGTGATCATGCCCTGCTGCTGGGGACACTCACGAGTTACCACAACGACGGTGGTGGTGTGGGAGGCCGTGGTGACTCCCGGGGGGCGGGGGTAACTTGGCAGGGGTAAGGATGGCGTAGGTGGGTAAGCTAGTGGTGGTAATGGTGCTAGGTGCAGGTGGTATATGTTGCCAGGGTGTGTTAGAGGTGCAAGACTACAAGGAATGGCAGGGAGGCTGACGAAGATGAGGATAAGTGTAGGTGAGGTAAGGTAGTCGTGTGGGGTGACAGGTAACAGCGGTCACTTCAGGTAAGAGTTAATTAACCTCAGGTGTGTCCAGGTGAATCTCTGGTGAGTGACTGAAGGTAAGGTTCTCAGACGCGAGGAGAAGCTTCGGTCACATCACCAGTCGTTCAACAGTTACGAGAAAGTGTCACAGTTCACCACAGTTCTTCAGTTACAGTCACTGCTAGAGGTCGACCTTTGTGGAGGAGGAGGTGCAGGAGGAGAAGAAAGAGGAGGTGGGTGTGTAGGAGTCGCTGCAGGAGGGGAGGGGGTGACGGGGAGGTGTCTCACTCAAACTAGAGCAACTACGTCGTCAGGAAGATACAAGACTCCCCTCATCACGCCCTCGTCTTCGTCAGTAGTACTAGGGGCGGCGCTCTTGTCCATCCTGACTCGTCCTGCCTGCTTCTCTACCCCCCTCCACCACCTCTTTGAAATACCTCACCTCAATAACTCCTAAGATAGTCGTTTCTTTACCTTGTTCTCTCACCTTATTTTTCTCTCTCTTTCTCAAACACTTAACTTTGGGTATTTTTATCAATTTTGAATGACAGGAGTTTTTTCTGTCTGTCTGTCTGTTTCTGTCAGTCCAAATATCTCACCAGCTGACGACTCTTCACTACACCTGTTTCACTGACGTTGCTACAGCTGACACTCCACCGTCAGCTGTCAGAGATTTACAACATCATCATCATCACCCTTTCCAGAACCCAATATATAGAAGTTTTCAGAGAAGTTTCGTGACGTCACTATTTTAAGTTTCACCACAAGGAGGAGTGTTATCACCTCTTCAGTTTCTTTTCTGATATAGACTTTCTTTTATATATAATTAAAACAAAACTGAAAGACAAAAGACATTGAATGATAAAATAAAAAATGGCTCCACATATTTCTCGTCTCCCATTTATTTCTATTTATATTTTGGTCTTTGGTTAAATGTGTAATATTGAGGTAAAATGAATCAAACTTAAGTCATAGTTGCATAAAGCGAATCAGTCTATGTTTACTCATCATGCCTCACCTCCCCCCCTCCCCTCCCCACCCCCTTACCTCCCCACCTACGTACAGAATAAAAATAATAATAAATACTGAATATTAAATAACAAATAAATGAACTACTTACAAAATAATACAAAAATAAATGCAAGAAATAAACCAATAAACAAAATTTGCCGTAAGGAGGCCATACATAGAGCTGCCGACGCACCTCCCCAAGGACACGTGACAGGAAGGAAAAAATGAAAGTCACGTGATAATGACAATAATAACGATGAACATAGGAGGGAGGGAGGGAGGATGAGGTAAGGAAGAAGGGAAGGAGGGGCGAGAAAGGGGATGCGGAAAGGATGGAAGGAAGGAGGAATAGAGGGAGGGAGGAAGGGAGGAAGGAGGGAGGATACGGGAAGGTGGAACAAGGGATGGAAGGAGGGAAGGAGGAGCCAAGGATAATGAAGGAGGGAAGGAGGAGCCAAGGATAATGAAGGAGGGAGGGATAGACGGCTTAGGGAGGGAGGGAAGAAGCAAGGGGAATGAAGGAAGGAAGGAGAGAGGGAACGAAGGAGGAGGGAAGGAAGAGGAAGGATGAAGAAGGTATGGAGGGAGGACACTTTCCCCATAAACAAAAAAATCCCATTAAAGATCAACATAACAAAATCCCAAAAGATTTTCCTCCTGTTTACAAAAAGAATAAATCCCGAGACACGTATCAGAAATTTCTCACTGGACAAAATACCACAAACCAGTTCATACAAGACAAAATACCAGCGGGATTTTATAGTTAATATAGTTTAATTATAACATCAGCAGCAGCAGTAATAATAATAATAATAATAATAATAATAATAATAATAATAATAATAATAATAATAATAATAATAATAATAATCTAAAAAAAAACTCAAATTAAATCCACCAAAATAATTAAACCCAACAAAAGTTTAACAAAATATAATTAAAAAAAACGGGATTTTGTGGTGATTTTGTACAATTTATGATTTAAGACGTAACTTTAGAGCGGCTCAGCTCAAAACTCATTAAAATTTATAAAAAAGTAAAATTAGTTGTTTGTGTCTGGTGACGGGCTGTACGGATATAGTACACTGCATATTATGGTTTTGGGTCTATTTTGCTGTCAGTGTTGCCAAGTTGTCCTCTAGAATAGTCAGTGTTGCCAAATTTAAATAAAATCAAGCCTTTATTTCCAGTTCTTGTTGTTGTTCTTTTCGTTCTTAGTGTTATTGTTATCGTTGTTAGTTTGTTGTTTTTCGTTATTATTATTGCTGTTATTGTCGTTGTTATTCTTTGTCTTCAGTAATAAATAAATTAAACAATCTTCATCACTGATCGAACTCTATGTTAAAACAAAAACAATTTCTTTAAGCTGAATGACACAACACCAACAATACCAACAACAACAACAATACCAACAACAACAACACCACCACCAATAACAACACAAACAACAACAACACCACCAACAACATAAACAACACAAACAACAACACCACCAACAACATAAACAACAACAACAACAAACAAAAAAGAAAGATTTAATACGGTACTTTAAAGATTTTTTCCCATCTGCCCCAAGAGAGGGAAATGTCAGCCCACCTCCAGCCAACACTCGGCTGAATAAAGCGAATCACTCCTAACATTTACCTATTGTTCCCCTGTCTGTGTCTTTGTCTGTCTGTGTCTTTGTCTGTCTTTGTGTCTATCTTTGTGTATTTGTCTATTAATGTGTTTTTGTCTGTGTGTCTTTGCGTGTCTATCTGTGCTTGTTTCTCTGTGTTTGTCTGTCTGGCAGTGGTCAAAGAAACATATATCAAGAAACCAATGTAAACTAACCTAACTTAACCAAACCTAACCTAACCTAACCTAACCTAACCTAACCTAACCTAACCTAACCTAACTTAACCAAACCTAATCTAATCTAACCTAACCACCTTCACTTCCCCAACAACAAAGTCAGGTACACATTCACAGCTGAGTAGACTAGGGGACCTGTGGGATCGAACCAGAGAACCTTAGGACGGGAGACGAGTGTTGTATCCACTTTTCCACCGCACATATTTTTGGGCCACTAATCTAGAATTACTTTTTTTTCATTTTTTTTTCAATCATTTATTAATCTTATCACGTTTAATAATTATGTTAGTTGTGTTTATATATAAAAATCTAATCAATAATAAATAAAATCCAACTAAGGAAAACAAAAAACAAATAAAATCACCTGAAATTACCAAACATTTTTTTTTCCACTCCACCCAAAAAAAATATTACAACACAGAATCAATTCCCTAACCAAACTTTTTTTTCCCAACACTCAAAGAAAAAAAAAGAAAAAGAAAAAGAAAAAAAGTCCACAAAATCCCCACAATTTCCAAACAAAACATTTTTATACTACGTTAAAAAAAAAGACATTGAACAAATTACACCAGGTAGATACAGGAATATTTTCACAGGTAATAAACACAAGGGGAAGGACTAATCAGTATACAGTGTTACCATAGTGATTAGAGGCAACTGGTGTGTGTGTGTGTGTATTATAGTATAGTGTAGTGAAGATGTAATATAGTGTAGTGTAGTGCAGTCTGGTCCACAACAATATTAAATTTTTGGGAGTATTTTTCCCCGAGCTAGGAAGGGGGGAGAGGGGGAGGAGAGGGAAGGGGGAGGCAGTGTCAGTGTAACAGAGGAACCTTCACCACCACCTCCTACCTGAGGGCTTCCAACACACACCTCACTACTACTCTTTCTTTACATAAATTCCTCACCAGGTAGAAACATTCTCTACCTGATAATTTATTTCCTCACCTGTTGTACCTTTAGCAGGATTAATCTACTTCTAACACCTCACGCCGTTAATTAAATATTATAAACATTTACACGACTTCATTTTGCATAAGACTGTAACACTTTGTTTTGAAGGTAATGTAATGATGATATAGACGAAATAGCAAGGGTTAATCTCTGGTACTCTCTCTCTCTCTCTCTCTCCCCTCTGCCCCCTACTCCTCTCTTTCCCTCCTTCTTCCTCCTTCCTTCCCTCTTCCTTCTCCTCCTTCCCTCCCTTCCTCACGTATGGTATTGTGAGACTTTAGTGGGAAGGAGCAGCAAGAGGTGTAGTAGAGGGAAGGAGAGAAGGAGTAAGATAATGTAAGGGAGGGAGGAGTGGGAGGGAGGGGAGAAAGGAAGGGGACAGAAGGAGGAGAGACAAAGTAAGGAACAGGAAGGGAAGGAGTGAGGAAACGAGAGGGAGGGAAAATAGCAAAGAGAGGAGATACAGAATTGTGGGGAGGGAAGAAACAGAGAGGGAAGGCAGTGAGGGAGGTGGTAACGGCAGGGTGCAGGAAGGGTGGCAGGGCAGTGATGGTAGGGA